GACATAAACTAAAATGTTTCCTGGTCCTGCAAAGTTTTGAATTTTAATATCCAAGCAGAACAGGAAATCAGATTAGTAAAGAGTAGCCTAACTATAAAAAATGGTACTGCATAATATCCTTACTTCAATAGTCAGTGACAAAACAGTAACATTTTTGTTATTTATTTAAACTGAAAACATCAAAATGTAGAATTGTTCTGAAGGTTCCTTAGAATGATGCAATTGGAAACAATTTGTTGTACCTTGGACTAAAACCTGCCAAACAGCGTGGGGTTTTTTTTGGTTGCTTGTTTTTGGTTTTGTTTGATTATATTTTTTTTCCCACATCTCCACTGGAAGCTTTCATTTTAGTGTTCATGGAAAATTTTCCATTTGTGTAAGAAATTGTCAATATATATTTGTATTTTTATATATACTTAATGCAAGGTGTATATCAATGAAGAAACATCCTGTAAACTCTGTGCTGCCCTGCTGGTAACTTCTTGGAAGCTGGCTGGTATTTCTACACAGTTAACCAAGGGAGATTTTCAGTGGCTGATTTTTCTCTGTCCCTCTAGTTCAAGGAAGAAGAGCCAGTATTCAGAAAGCTACCATTCATTGTTTGTACCAACAGGACATAAACTTAAAGAAGCAGTCAATTGACTTGATCTTTAAAAACTTCCTAAGTAGAGCATGTGCATGTTTCTCGCTCCTTCGTCACTTTTATGCTATGGGACAGTGACATTCCTTACACTATGATGTTTGGGTTTACAGCCCAAATTTTAGCCTGGGTAGTTGTCCTGAGCCCACAGAGTTTTCATCCAGGTGAGGGATTCACTTTGCTTATTACCATAAAACTTTGACACAGTATCCTAGTTAAAAACTTAAATGTTTAAAGATTTTAAAATCATAGCTCATTGTATATGGGGGGTAGCTGCTAATTCTGGCTCATGTGAGTATGACAACTGCGGATGCGTTTCTACCAGACAAACAGTTTTCTAAAGTGGACAAAACATGTTTTTATTATGTATGAGACACTTCTTTTGGCACTTACATTATTTTAAAACTAAACAATTGGCAAACTTCCTTGTTCTTCTCCATGAAGGCATTTGTAATCTTTTAATAACACTATGTTGCCATGTATTTGTTAAAAAATTGTTTTCTATAGCATTACTAGAGGTTACTTTTCGTGAATATGTTTGGCACTGGTGACTGCAAGAAAGGGCAGAACTACAAGAAAAGGAAAAAAACATCTCCAGGTTGCTACTTTCACCAGTATTGAATGGGATGACACAGATCTCATTCCTGTTGCAATTCACCTGAAACAGGCTCTCCCTGCTAAACATGACTAGTTTATTAAACATGACTAGTAAGGATCTATAGAAATAGTGGAAAAACTGATACACAAGATGGATGTACATTCAGAGGTACCTCAGCAGGCTGGAGAAATTGGCTGACAGAAGACCTGACGCAGCTCAACAGTGGGAGATGCACAGTTCTGCACTAGGGGAGGAATAACCAGTACATGCACCAGTACATGCTGTGGGCTGCCTGGCTGGAAAGCTGATCGACAGAAAAGACTCTTGGGGGTCCTGGTGAGCATCAAGTTTAATGTGAGCCAACAGCCTCCTGAGTTGCATTAGGAAGAGCATTGCCAACAGGTCAAGATAGGCAATGCTTCCCCTCTAGTCAGCGCTGCTGAGATTGCACCTGATGTGCTGGGTGTCATTCTGTGCTCTCCAGTACGATAGATGTGGAAATACTGGAGAGAGAGGCCAACACAGGGCCATGAAGATGATTAAGGGACAGAGGTATTTCTCATACAAGGGAAGGCTGAGGGAGCTGAGACTTTTCAGGCTGGAGAAGAGAAAGCTAATGAAGATCTTATCCATGTGCAGAAATACCTGATGGTGAGAGCAGAGATGGAACTAGACACTTCTAGGGATGCAAGATGCATAGGACATAGATGGGTATATAAGAAATTCTGCTTAAACATAAGAAAAAACTTTAACAGCGAAGGTGATTGAAACAGGCTGTCCATGGTGGGTGTCTCTGTCTTTGAAGGATATGCAACACCCAACTGGACACTGTTCTGAGGTCTATGCAATCCTGATTTGGGCAGGAGCTCAGGCAACACAGTCTCCAGAGGTCCCGCCTGTCCTTCTATGATTCGTGACCAGGTGGATAAAAACATAGCCCAAAATAACGTAACAGTGAGGTAAAGAGAATAAGGAGAACCTTCAAGGTGACTAAAATCCGTTCCCTAGAAGTAGGGGCACCTCATATGAGACCTCTGTTGAGCCAAAATAACACATTTTAAAAGGCTATTTCTGTCTCCAGGAGGACAAGAGAAGAACCTGAACACCAGGAGTCCTGCATAGCTCTGGGAGCCAGGAGGTAGGAATAGCATTCTACCTAGGGAAAAAGCAGTGACTACATGGAAAGGGCCTCTTATGAGGCTGGGTGGGACTAAAGCATAGCTGCTTGCACATCCAGTTCTGCACACCACCTAAACATAGTGTGGAGCTTTGAAACAAGGATTAAAGCTTTCAGTTGTTGTCAGATTTTTTGATTATTATTATTATTATTTAATTACTACAGGTCAAAAGTAACTGCAAGTACTGACCTATAAGAATTGGCAAGTCTTAAAAAAAAAAAAATCAGGATCTAGTAGGGCATAGCTAAGCAACAGTAAAACTCTTCAGTGCTAGGAATCAACATAGGAGTGAAAAAAGAGGTACTTAAACTCAATTTCAACAGCTGAAAGCTTTTGTAGAACACCTGTATTTATCATATGAATAGTGAGATTGATAGTGAGATAGATGGTGGTGTGCAAACTTACACCTTAGGCAAGAAATACAGCTATATTATAAAAGGGAACTGTTTTTCAGGGGCACTCAGGAGTCAGAGGAACTTCTCAAAAGATTTTAAATATAAAAAGAGACTATGGTGAATTTCTTAAAGAACTTTAAAAGGTTACTGTAACCAGTATCACACAAATACTATAATATACCTCCATTTGAAATACAGTAATATATACCAATGTAAACTGGAGAAAAACTGAACAGGATTTGTGGTCATGAGCTTAATCAAAAGTCAAGCAAACAAACAAACACTATTGTAAAATGAAAACAAAATAGTTATTATTAATTAACATGAACTCAAAGGGCAAAGCAATAGATGTATTCCACTACAAAGAATTACAGAATGGTTGAGGTTGGACGGGACCTCTGGAGGTCACCTGGTCCGAGCCTCCTGCTTAAGCAGGGTCGCTTAGAGCAGGCTGTCCAGGACCATGTTTTTGAAGACCAGGCTTTTGATGATCTCCAAGCTGGGAGATTCCACAACCTCTCTGAGCAACCTGTACCAATACTCTGCCACCCACATGGTAAAGAAGGGAATGACTTCCCTTGGTGAATCCATGCTGACTACTCCTCATGATTTTCTTCTCCTTCACATGCCTGGAAATGTTTTCCAGGATTAGCTGTTCCAACACTTCTCACCCCCAAAAGACCAGAAGTGCTTATAGTAAGAACTATCTTCTATGACCTGTCCCACAGATAATATAAACTTACATCAAACAGTTAATATTTGCTTTCCTGTGGCTGTTGTATTAAACTGAGCACAGCTGGATGGAACAATATTTTCCCCAAAATGTTGGAATAGATAAACAGCATCCTAATTTGTTCCACAGTAGATAATATATTCTTTATGTTGAATGCAAACTGTAACACTATACAATCTCTGTACCTCATCTGGTTTCATAGTTGACAATTCAGTAACATTTGAACTAAGAATTGAAACATGCCATTGTAACACAGTGCTATCATTCCCTCCCCGTTGTTATCATACTTCTATCAATCCTCAATACACCAGAAATACTGTTTTGTATTTAATGTGTGTAACTCTATTTAAAATACAAGCTCAAACCGAGGTACTTTACATATAGGATTTGCAATAACAAGACTGCAAATACTAAACAGGTTCCTCTGTTTAAGCTACATCCCACAGAGGACCAGCTGTTTCTCCACATAGCCAAATAAAAAACAAGTAACATGCAATCCCCAAAAGATACATTGTTTATTTTCCCAGTGCTTCAACTGAAATTTTCATATATTTTAGTATTAAAAACAATTAGTTGATGAGGACTTCAGAATTTAAAGTGTGAGGCATTACTAAATTAAACATTGTTGAAGACTGTAATTATTAAAAAGAAGAAGAAGAAAAGAAGAAGAAAACAAGACATGATAATGCATTAAAAAAAAAAACCTTTAAATTTAAAAATAAGAGTTTCTATTTTTTCAGAGATAAGTATGTCTCACAAAATGAAAGTTCTGCCACATGGAGTTTAAGAAATTAAATAGCATACTTTCCACCAATAACAATATTCTATAATAAAATGAAAAAAAAAATATGTAAGAAACTGCTGCCTTTAAAAACAGATCCATTTAATGATTCATAACTTTGTTGGGTTTTGTTCTTTCCCTCTTAAAAAAAAAAAAAAATTGTTCCCGTGGGGGCACCTGATGAGCTTAGATAGCATTTTCAAAAAGCTCTCATAACTTGAATATTCAAATTCCCCTGAGTTTCACTGGGCCTGATGGCTTTATTTAGAAGACATATTTCTGTATCTGTTAGAACTGCTTACCTCTTCTATTTGGACTTCTGGCAAGCAAATGACTTCAAAACAAGCACAGAGGCTTGAAATCCATCTGCCTCCTATTGTGACAGGATGGTATCTGTCTCTACCCTAAATGTACTGCCGCCCAAATATTTTACAGGGCCTCAGGTCTTTTGAGTTTAATAACCAGTGAAAACTTCCAGCAAAATAAACTTTGGATTCATCTACACACGTTTCACTCTGAGCTGTGACTGAAAAAAGGCAAAACTGCAGTACGCAAACACATATGCAGACTTAAGGTCTGGCAACTCCGCACTACAGGAATGCCAGGAACTCTTCCCAAATGCAGGTTTGCAAGCTCCTTATTTTGAGGTTTGTATTGTCACCATTTAACACTTACACAGCTGGGACCTGTATGTGTCTGCCAAGTAAGGAAAGACAGCTCCTGCTGCAGAGGCCTTGGTGTCACAAAAGGTGCTACCTAAGGAAAAAACACAGGCTGACACGTGGCTTTAAGATTGTGAAGCAACAATAAAACAAGCAGTTAAGCATAAAAGCTTCCTGCTTGGGTAATGAACGCCAAATGTTTATATGAAACACATTTTCATTTCAAACACAAAGCTAGGAATTGTGAAACGGATGTGTCCTAAGGGCTAAAATGAATTGTTTGGCCTTTCCTGTCAAAGAAAACACATCAGGCTGGGAACTTATTTGCTTTTTAAAATGTATTTATGATTGTAGATAAATATTTGGCACAATTACCTTGGAAATATCTGAGTCCAAAAAGTATTTACTTGTAACTTAGAAAAACAAAACAAAACAAAAACAACAAAAAAAACACATTATTTTGTGTCACAGATTTTCACTTACTTTAAGTATTTATTTTTTCAGTTAATATTTTGTGCAATTCCAAAACAGTGGCTAAAGACAGATATTTCCAAAATACTCTGTGCGAAGTTCTAATGCTTTTCAGCAAAAGATGGGCATAAACACAAGCAGTAGGGAAAACACTCACATTTGACTAATAGTGGAACCACAACACATTACAGGTATGTAATACAACCGGAAAGCCATTCGTCCATTTTATTTAAATCTTATTTTCCAAGAGTTGCTTCCTCTGTGGACTACCTTCAGCTTGTAGAAATAAACGAAGGTAACCTTTACATCCAACAAGCTAGTTCAGCTCTAGCTCAACACGGAAATTATAAAAGGTCTCACCAGTAACCTAATACTTCCATAGCAGAAATGACTGTTTCAGTATTGAGGAATAGTATTACTGAAGAATACAAAAGAACTTCAATGATTGAATACATTATTCTATTCCTGAAGTTTAATTTAGCTTAATTAACTCCTATTTAATAGTCATTACAAACAGACTCAATTTTCTCTTAGAAAGTTGGAATACTGTCTTGAAAAAGACTTTTCTAAGCCCAGTTCAACTTCCTAACAACATCACATTAAAATTCCACAATGGAGAGAGGAGATATTCATAAAGAACAGCAGTGTTACTGAGCACAGAGGTTTTGGAAAGATATCCTTATCTGAACACTTATCTATCCTTATAGAAAACATCTTGTAAACCTAACTATATGGTAAGGATACACTTCAGGAGAACCCAGCATTGCATGCTGAATACACTGTCCACAGGAAGAGCTGGAAAGCCTGGAAGTGAGTGAATATGCAATATGATGGACATATAATCGTCCCCATCATCATTCACACAATTTTTGTCTCTAATTAAATGAAAAACACAGAATGTGTTCCCACGTAATAGAAACTCATTCCCACTAAAGCTGCAGAACTTCATTCCTTTCACATTTTTTTTTTATAACTAGAGGCTTGGGCCAATAAAATTCAAAGGTAAATGGTGACAATGTAAGTATATTTTAAACATCATTTTGAGTTTAATGTAATACACATTAAACTCAATAGATAGGTAGATAGATAGATAGGTAGATAGATAGATTGCACTCACCACTACTACCTGAAGAAGATAATACATTCAGACTGTAAAGCCCATTCTCTCCAGTCACCAAGAAAAAAAATGTTGCAAATTATTTCCAGGCATAAATTGTTTTCCTATTTACAGTACAAAATGCAGAGAAAGTCATTCTAGAATTACTTAATGTGATAAGTATACTAGAAGAATATTAACATTTGAAGACATATAAAGTAGTGACTACTGAGTCAATTGGAAAAGGTCACCTTTTTAAAAGCACATTGGCAAAAACACCAGCAAAATTACAGCTGCTGAAGTTGTTTTTTATGTTTTGATTTTTAAGAGCACACATGCCTAATATGTACTTGAGTTTGAGAGGCCTCAAATTTACTTTTCCTAAAACAAAACTTTGGAGAAACTAGATGCTAAACATGGTATCAAATCCTGTTCCTTTTTCCTCTATTAGACAAAGTAAATAAATAAATAAATAATGTAGCTTTAACATATCTGAAATGTGAACATTGCTTTGCTAAACACAAACTGAAATGAAACTGCATAAATTATCTTTTTACCATTTAATAGTTTTTCACACTGCTTTCCGTAATACTTACTTCAAGTTTGTAAGTTTCCAGTGGAAAATGCTTGCCATCTGTGTCATGTTTTCAATCCATAAATCAGTGAAAAATTTTCAAATAGAAGTGATGAAGAAATTATTTCAAAATTTTGTAGGCTGTAATTTTCATTCTGGATTAACTACACCACTGTGAAAATTTGGATACCAAATAAATTGTAATATCTTTCTATGATTCTAATCTAAATTAACTCAAATTTCACAGCTTTTTCGTAACAGGCTGCTATATGTCATCACTTTCATTTTTCAACTATATCTTACAGTACTGTTAGCGCTGACATTTCAGGCAGCTTTACAGTGGAAGTGGAAAGCTTCAAAATACATAGTATATCAGACAAAAAATTACTATCCCAGTTTTAAAAAGAAAGATAAAGAGATCTACTCAACAGTCAAGCAATGTACCTGAGAAGCAGAAAAGGGCAAGGGTAAAAAACAACACTCAGTTAGGCATACTGAAAAGTTACCTTATTCATTCAACAAATATTGCAAATGAAGTTGTGTCTGCAAAATTTTCACCTGCATTTACACAGCATTTTATACATACAACAGAGTTGAGGCCAAGCACAGTAGTAAAGAAAGGATACATTAGGATACAAGACAGGCCGCATAACACAAAATTTAAAATAAACAACCTTAAGAAGTTGTGAATGGAAATTTCAATGATAAAAGTTATTGGTAAGATTTTTTTCTTTCCATCTGCAAAGCAAGGAAATCAAAATCTTTTTTTTTTTTTTTTTTTTTCACAGCCATTTAAACCACAGGCTATATCAATTAGCTGACTAAAAATAGGAAAGTACTTGGGTGGAACAGATTTGTAGGTATTTGTGACTTACCAGTAATTTATTTCATCAGTTTTCCTATGAATTTTATTTTAATCAGATTTTAATTTTATAATCAGATTTTATTTACCTGAATCAAATTTTAACTTTATTTTTAGCAGATTGAAAATAGCAACCTTTACATTACATTTTATCAGCTAAAAATGAACCATTCCAAGCAGCCACCTAATACCATGTTTCAAGTACGCTTTTTCAGTGTTCGTGTTTATAAACAATTGTGCTAACAGGATTCTTAAGTACTCATCAGCAAGTTAATCTTTTTTAATTGATTAATTCCAAAACAGACCTGTAAGTAACTCTTAGTACCCACTGAGGTGGTCTAGTACTTTGTAAGTTACAATAATTGGAAATATTTGGTAACTGACCCAAAACAATAACAAAACAACAACAAAATCAGGATTTTCCACTGAAATGATAGTGACCCAAAAAGGTACTTTACAAAGGCAGTTACCTGAAACAGCTCTAAAACTATCTAAAGTAGTGAAACAGATTAAAACCAACAACTAAAACACAGTAGCTAAATAAAAATAAAGCAAATAGAAGCCAGAGAAAAGTAAGACAGTCAAGGTAAACTTCCAACATTCTGGAAAAAAACAACTGATTATCTTGCATTCAGAGAAGTTTTATCATCCTTCAGAAAACAAAACAAAACAAAATAAAACAAACAACACAATGAGTTCTGATCCCCTTTTGAAGTTTGCAAATGAAGCTATATGCTTAGATGACTATCCAAATTAAAGAGACTAAATGCTTAAACATTTGCAACACTAGGAAATTCAATCTTAAGCACTTTAAAGATGCATTTTAAACAAGCAGTTAGTGAGCCAACAACTTGTATAATGCTACTCATAAAACAAACAAACAAACAAACAAACAGAAAACTTGCTTTCCTTGGCAGAGGAAATCATTGGACCTGGAAGTGATCTACAGAAAAGAAAAAAAAAAAAGCAAGGAAAAAAACAACAACACCCTCTTGAAGAGTAAAAGGGAAAATATAACCAAAGTTTATATTTAATACTTCATTGCATAACCTAGAGCAAAACTATTCCCCTATTTTCATTTTTATGTATATTCTTTCAAACTGGAATGCTCTTTATGAAGCATTTATTTGTTCAGTTTGATCGTATGCTCTTAAAAATCAAAAAGGAATGAAATTATTAATGGCTTTGTATGATTCTCATACTCAAGTGGAAGCTAACCTAAACCAGCACTACCTAAACATAAAATCAACATCAAATACTTGGAGAGATTTTTCTCTTTGTGTAGTGAAAAAAAAAAGTGACATGGTGATATGCAGCTGACTTTGTTAAATACTTTTTGACAGAAAACTGTGTTCAATAGTAGCAATAGATGAATAAAGATGTAGTATAGCCACTCTTACACCATGAAAATAAGGTAAAGGACAACAGTCCTTGCCTTCATTGGGTGCTTTCATTAGCACTAACTTAACTAGTCAACTTAACTAGCCAGCTAGATACATTTATAAATATTACATAGATTGTTACCAAAGAAAAATCATTAAAAAAAAAAAAAAAAGCAGATCATCAATCTATCAGACCTAGTTAAACTATATGGGTAAAAATGGGACTGTGATATCACAGGATATCATGATGGAACGAATCTTCCATTCACTTGGAAAGGTTTTGTGCATTAATGGTGCTAAAAATATGGCAAAGTTGTACGCATCACAGTGAACGTAATAAAATGGAAGCATGCATTGGGTTTGCTTTGTGCAGACAAAACTATTATTGCTTAGTTTACACAGCCATTGCTGCTCAGACAGTAATTCAACCAAGTGTCATGCTTCCTTTTGAGGTTGAAATTCCTTGGTACTGCTGCAATATATCAGCTCACATGTTCATTTCCCTTCGCTCAGCACCTAGTCCTTCACTCACCATGCCCCTATAAAAGAGAGGAGCTGTGGATTCTTGAGAATTTATTTTAAGCTAGCCACTGTATTTCAGTTTCAAAGCAGAGAGATATACTATTTTATTTACCTGTTTCTACTATTACTAACATGAGGCAAACAAAGTAAATTATACAAAGAACAAATAACCAAATACTGTAAAAAA